TTGACTTCAAAAAACGTCATCAAAGAAATCATCTTAATGCAAATAAAAATGCCCCTGGAGAAAGATGTTTTTTTTCAACTACACAAACGTGTAGACCAACAATGCTCACTAGCATGTCATGTGGTTGCTCATCCCAAAATTCCACATTATTTACATGTAGAATAAAGAATTTGCTGTGTGAATTTTTTAGGTTGTTTGCATGTTTGAAATGAATAAATTTACGGTGTAAGTGTAGAAGTAGTAATAGTAGTTGCAGTTTTAGCGGTAATAGTACCAAATTTCAGCGATGTAGTTAGATGCTGATTTCGGGCCATAACACTTCTCCTGCGAGGAATCAAAAGATAGCATGACGAGTTGGTCACTAGCGTGAAAATGCTAACACAAATATTTAATATTTTCCAAGTAAGGGGCACATTTTGTGACCAGCATCCGAGTGATTACTCTTATCAAAATACAGTCTTGTAACATGAGATGGTCTAAAGCGATGGGGTTTCCAATACGGTTTTGTCAGATGAGCGTGCCAATGGTATTTGACCTAGGTAAAACACTGCGCAGAGCACAGGGATCCGTTGTTGTTCACCCACCTCTCCCCTACGCTCCCCCTCACACTGAAACCTACCATGACTTCATGACCACTCGCCTCGCATTGTAGGCTTGTTCTGTCTCGCAAACTGGTCCAGTGTGAAAGCCAAACCATCTCTTTTGTTTTCCTTTCGTCTGACGACGGAGTGGTGTCACCAGCTCAAAAACTAGTGAGTAGAACTCGATTTTTCGAATAAACCACTTCTCTTTATAAATGTAACGACTCGAAATGCTCATGCCCTCTGAACTACAGTAACGGATTTGTTTCGGACACTGCCCCTACCGAACTTTCGGGGTCTGGACAATCCTGCTTCCTAGACTTGTCGTTTAGCCTTATTGACTATCAACACTACCCGTTGTCTGCTTTTTTCTATTCAGTGGTTCTCAACAGGAGGTTCAGCGGCAGTTAACTGGCGAAAATTGTGCATGATAATACACCTATTGAAAGAGTAGTCTGCATGTAAGCTCTGAGACTGATGGAAGCTAGGTGATGAGATCCCGCAGAGAGTTCAAGAGAAAAAGAATCTGACACTGAAAAAATACCGTCATTGATTAGGTGTTTCAAAACCGCCATGAGTCGACGAAAGGGGTTATAGCTGCCTAAAAACCGTAGAAATATTGTACGCAATTGCAATGAAACCACATTAAAGCACGGATGACATTCAGCGAAATGATCGCTGTGATAAGAAGACAGCATAATTCGCTGGATGTCTATGCATTTTCAATTGTTTCTCATAAGAATGCCAAACTACTGGCTCATGATAGCTGGTGAACACTATCCGATAATACTCAGTGAGGCCATAGCCTTTCTCCTGCCAACAATTCAAACACATTTTTGACGCCCTGAACAAAGGAGAAAAACGGATAAACACAACGTCCCACCACTGTCTCAGCCGCTAGCGAAATGCATAATCTGCGAACGGTTTCTCATGCATAACCAGCAGGATCTCACTTATTCATCTGTTAAATGACACTGATCGGTCCCTAAATGCGATGGCGAACGGTGCTGAAATCTTCTACATGACACTGTTAGAGGCACCTGCCAGTCACTTTGACCTGAATACAACACTGCAGACTGAGAGGTAAGTTAAAGTCGTGTAAAAGACAGCAACACCGAAAATGTCCGGCACTTAGCTAGTTTCTTACATGGTGTTTCAGAAGTTCACAATACCGACAGCAGCATCAAAGGCAGATCAGTCGCATAATGCACGACGCGAGCGTTCTAAGCAGACGCACGTTCTGCTTAGCATCTGACTACTTGGACTTTCCGCGACGGCCTAGTATGGGATGGCCGAACGAACATCGCAGGAGGGTACGAGGACGATGGTCGCTATTACCCAACCTTCCCCATCGTTACGCACATGCACCTAAATGTACGGCATACATTCGAATTATGGCAGATTATTACCAAACAAAATCACTTTTAAGAAGGAAAAGTCTGCAAAACACGGGACAGGAAGAGTTTCCAGGCATCTATCACAGACATGGCACTGAGGCCAAACCAAAGACGATACTGTACTTCTTTTATGTGAATCCACGCAGCTCGACCACATACAGGGCCTCCCTCATGGAGTTTCTTTTCAGTCTACTCCAGTATGCCTCAATAGCATTGGTGTGCCGTCCGGTGGTAGGGTCCTTGAAGTTCTTTCAGTGGTTAACATAGAAATGCAGATAACCTTCTGAGAGAAGACGATTATACGCCTTCCACTCGTCCGTCACCACTATATTACCTCTGGCAACCCATTTTGTAATAACAGAACGAAGAGCGGGCCAACTTCGATCATTCACCTGTACAAATAAGGCTTTTTGTCGACTACTATCGTACATGCCGACCAGCCACCACCCATAAAACCCCTATTATCACCTGTTCCGAAAGACAAGCTTCTTTGCTTAGGCGGATTTTTGTTGGATGTCATCTCCCGATTGTTACCTCTGACTGCATTATGTCCACACACGAGATAGTTAACAGGGACGACATCTTCCACTCACAAGGGCTTTTGACCCGAGCAAAACACTCTGCAGGTTTAGGGGCGAGAAGAATTTGTTCAACTGTCATCAGCAGTGACAAATTACAGCTCGTGATTAGTTTCCTGAATGGTCGACAGTTAGTACACGATACAAACAGTAACATCTACTCGCTCTCCGAAAAGCTTCAGGTCAACATCACGATATATGACGTGTCCGTCCTAAAGTCCGGGGAAAAGACTTTGTTTAAATTTACAGCTAGATTACAGACGTCAATCTTCCTCAGCATGGCAGGGCTTGATACCTTGCATCATCACATGTTGTACTAAGCGTATGTTGGCCGTTGTTTGCTTAGTGGACTTGAAGATAGCGACATTGAAGTTATGGAAATGAATGTCGTCTGAAACATAGACAATCATTTACAGCATAAATGAAGTGGGTGGGTATTTCAGCCTAAAACCGGTCAACTTGCATACTGATAATTAACCAACACTGAATCCAATAAAACCCCGTATCGAACAAGAGCTGAATTGCAGACCCGAGGACATTTATGTACGTTAGTTATCGCTGAAATTCGTCTGAACATTGCTTGCCGCGATGATCAATATGAATACAATCTGCGGACGTTGACTTCTGGGTGCAGCGTAAGAGTATTCACTTTCCGAAACATTGCAGCTATTATCCCTTTGATATTCAGCTGGATGTTTTCCATATATAATTTGTTAAGTCAGGCTGCCCATCTTTTACATAACGAGTAGTTTTCAGACAGACTTCAATCTTACACTTTGATTGTCCTTGGAAATACACACTAATGCCTTGTCAGTTCTGTGGACGCTGCTGAATTAAGATCTACCGTAATGTTGTCGTGTTCGTGGTAAAGCTACTTGCCTATTTCATCTTCAGAGCACTCTTTGTAGTCGCTCATTTCAGGCGCTAAAGATCGAAAACTTTTTTAATTAAAGTTAACTTCTTAAGCTTAACAAGCACCGGAACCGTGTCAGTTTTGCTGACACTTGGGTGACCTAAACTGACTTCTCAGCCTTCATGGTCTCGTGTACAGGTCAAAGTCCCTCGCACGTGCATCTGAGGAAATGGTTTAACAGATATCATTCCCTTTCGCCATCCCATGCTAGGACCTTTAACTGTATTTTGACAGTGCGATTCGCCACTTAGTATACGAAGTACCATTTAGGGAGTACGAATTTCATAAATAGCCGAGAAGACGTTCAACCGTTGTGTTCACCCAATCTTTACAGTAACCCGTTCGTTAAAAAGACATTTGAATTATTGGCTGGCGGACGTGTTCAAGCAATAATCGACATCTAGTTGCAAGTGCGATATTTAATACTACTAATATATATCATAACATTTAAGTGCCATCTGACAGGTCGGGTATATTAAAATATGCCCTCGCTGTTTGTTGTCGATATAGTGCCAGTGTTGCCGATAGTTAGGGGACTCCAACACAGTTGTCAGTTTTTACTACAATTGTATACAATATTTCTGCATTCGGTGGGCCTATTACGATGTGTTTAACTAATATAGTAAAGCACGGATTCAGTAGCAGTCTTGTTTCACAGCCAACATACTCGAAATAAAACTGCATATGGCAAATTGCCTATTTGATACCAGCGGTTTCCCGTCTTAGGTAATCAATTTTCCATCCAAGTACACGTACCAATTCTCAAATATCAGATTCCACTGTCTGTTTCGGTAGCTTGATACAGCTATAAAAACATACTCCAGAATTGCGGTTTTTTCTCAAGGCATTCGGTAGATCCCAATAATACCGAGTCCCCTTCTGTCGAAAATAACATCGACACCTGTATCGTAGTGGCCGCTGTGGATTAGCAGTCCATCTGCGCTTTCCTCCCGTCCTTGATCAACACACGATGAACAACATGTTCGCCGCAACAACAATATGCGACGAATAGGATCCCGCTTAGTTTTGGAGTGCCCAAGATGTCGTATTAAGACGGAGCCATTATTGACCGACTGTCTATGCCTACGGCCCTGATTTATTTACTTAGTTGGCAGACCGCACTCATGCGTAATTCGAAATATGAGGTCTGATTTATACCCTCAATTGACAACTTCCTAAACAGCAGCTTTTAAGCTCATTGTGATCATTTTCTGGCAGATTAAATTTACTTCAGCGAGCAATGCACCGAACTGCCATTCGGATGAATTTCTTAGAACTGCCTCATCAATTCTCCTCTCTGAAATGCATCAATGCACTTTTCCCGTCGGACATTCGGTCAGGCACGATTTTGCTTTACATAGCACTATTTTGACTGTGTGAGAAATGCCTCTTCCGTGCCTATGATGAGCGATGTGTATGTGTTGTTTGAGGTGTAGGGGTGTCAGCGGTGGGTCCACGTGATGGTCGTAGTGGTCGCTCACTTGCTTGCAGGTGAGACTACGCCTAGCGTCCATTTGCTGGCACCCAACTCTCACCTGTGGCTCCACGTAGCTGGGCTCTGCTCAGCGGCCACACCCCGGGCAACCGCCTCGACCGGCGGGCTAAACCAAGTGAGGGCGCTGTGCGCTTGTGCCGCGTGCACAGTGTACTGCGGACTCCGCTGGATGTTTGGTCGGATGAAACACTGCGCCGGCATCGTCGAGACGAGGCTCTGCTTGGTACGCCGTTGGACAACTGCTTCCGGGACGGGCCTCCGCATCGCCTTCGCTGAGACGCGCCCGCCTTCGCCGACGGAGACCGCGGACTCACGGCACATGCGGTCGTTCTCCACTACAAACATAAAAGTCGTGGCCCCATAGTGGGATTCGGTCGCGCCAACCAGGCACATGGGCAGCCCGATTCAGGGGTGGCACTGCCTACTCCCGCAAGGAGAAGGGCCTAGAAAAGGTGGCCTAAAAATTGCTGGGCACCACGCCGTCTGCAGGCCAGCCAAGGCCGCAGATGCCATCAACACGGTCGAAACAATCAAAATCGAAACAATAACAATACAAATTACAACAACCATACTCCTTCTCCTCATCCTACCTCTTCTACCTCTATCTCCGTCTATTCTTCTGCCTATT